ATTGTTGTGTCATCTGCGTACATTACGCATTTACCTTGAATTATATCAGGGAGGGAGTTCACATAGATATTGAAAAGTAAAGGCCCTAGTATTGAACCCTGGGGTATTCCAATATCAATGTTCATAGCATCTAAGCGTGTTGAGTTGATTTGGACTATTTGTGATCTACAAGATAAATAGGATTTAAACCCAATTTAAAGACATAGAATCAAGACCAAATTGGTGCAACTTGTATACATCTGTTAACTGGTAAGAACATTTTTTTCTCATCGTAACTTTCAATTAAATCAAGTATTTCAGTTTAACACAAACAAATATATCTTAACATAAATATTGATGGAAAGGATAGAATAATATACTGTATAGGTATTCTGAAGACTCGAATTCTTCCATTACACTTACGATGTGAACACTTACGAAATATGTGTTGTTCACTCTGCTTTGCCACAATATTGTTTCATCTCCGGTAAGTTGCTAGTATGATACCAGTTGTTATTATAATACCATGATAAATCCTTTTTTATCATTACCTATGGCAACTTTTACTCTTTTTTCTTTCATGTAGGATGAGTTGAGAACTCTTGTTAGACGAGGTATACCATCAGAGATCCGTGGCGATGTGTGGACTAAACTGGTACTTAACCGAGTAAAACACGTACAACACGAAAAGGTACAAATCTGATCCTCTGTCACGCAGCCAGCACATTTAAAATCACATCTGTTGTTCATTAGACAGACGTATAACTTTCGGCATTAAGCTCACGGGACTCGAAACAAATTATCCCAAAGTCCCTGTCTAATATTATATTTAACATAATTTAATTTGTTGGTAATTGCTGACCTAAAGATTGATCTTTCGCAGATTGAGTCTGCACAGTTCTTGTTATGTCATGTGACGTCTGTACTGGTGTGGAAGCTGGTACTTGCGTCGGCCAGTAAATGCTTTAATTTGTAATGGCAGACCTCAAGAAACACTTCATACATTAATTTGCTAATAGTGAACATGATAATTCACCTGGGAATTCCATATAAGTGTTTTTAACATAAACAAGATGGAAATATAGAGTATTTGTGTAACAGGGCACGGTGTAGTAATTTGTTCGCTAAATTAATGACAAATTTAACATACCCTTTCAGACTTCACAAATTGAGTTCTGCACCCCTGTCTTGTCTCACAATTTGTTATTCATGTATTTGTAGCTATTTACAAGATGTTTATGTTCCTTTGTGTAATCATATTACATGGGAATCCTTTATCTGTCTTATCTGAAAGTGTGCAAATGTTGAAAGGAGTACTGTAAAGCCCTTTATATTCGCACGCCCTTAATTTTCGTGATGAAACAACAATCACAAAAATTAAGGGCGCGCAAAAATTGCAAAATTTTGAATGATAGTTTTGTTGTAGATTACTAGATAAATCAGGAAAAAACTCACCAAAAATAGTGAGCTTTTGCAATAATAAAGATTAAAAAACGTAATGGTAGGTTTCATCATGTTAAAAAATGACTCGAAATTTAAAAATCACAAAAATAAAAGGTTGCAAAATATTTCAAATTGTAAAATCGCGAAAATAAAGAGCTGCCAAAATAAAGGGCTCTACATGTATATAAAGATACAAGTATAATTTATATAGCTTGACATCTGTTTGAAATGAGTATATTATTAAAAATGAAATGGGACAGCAAAAGTAAAGGTAGGAGAATAACCCATAATTTGCAGCGTCGTTGTGCTGTTTGCGTCATGGTAGCTACATGTTCACATCATTCCACGACAGGGGCTGAAATGAACCATAACACCTTCCGAAAGAAAGCAATGGGTCCTTAAAAGTGCACACGAGCCAGATGTTACACTGGACCTCCATTTAAGTCCTTATCCGAGAAGAACCGTAATAGTCTAATAGTTTGTGCATCTCTACAATTCATAATGAGAATTAATGATTGGTTAATTAACAATCACCAATTAACATATATTTACCGCTCTGCCAACAAACAGGCAGTTGTTAAATCGCCATTTCACCCCGAAAGCTGCCCAGTAATATAGTTATTTTCTTTGAGCAAGTCTAATCTGAACATCAGTACATTTTGATAAACCTTACTGAGGGGCAGTCCTTTGCGTAATTAAAAATGACATTGCTCATTTTTGTGATTAAACTTTTTACTATTGACATGTACAAACTTGTTTGATTAGGACTGAAAATTTATTCAAATGTGAGCTATAATAATTTAATATTCTCCAAATTTGAACAATATGGTTTTGCATTTGAACAGCCATTTGCATGATGATTAATATTTAGCCACAGTCTAGGTGCAATCCAAGTGTGAACAGCAGTATGATTTTAAGCCAATATAAAGTTATACACACATCTTGATCAAATTTAATATAGTGTAAAAATGGGGAAATTGATGTAGCTAGTAGTAAGAAAAGGTTGTGGTTTTTTCGCATTATTTGAATCTAGGACCCTGGGATTGGAGTAACCGCTAAGCTACATCTTCATTAAACTGCAAAAGTTCATCTTATTTAATCTTAACATGATTTCCTTCTATTATTTCCACAGGGCAATGACTATTATATCAGTTTATGCAATCGGATTGACATGGCTTCTGAAGTGGAAAAGTATCGTAGACAAATCAACTTGGATCTTCTGAGAACAATGCCTTTCAACATTCATTTTGAAAAGAAGAAATCAGATGGGGTGAGAGAATCTCTGGGGTCTTTGAGGTTACACTGCAGATGACCTTGACCAATTTCCTATCTTTATAGAATCTGAAGTGTATTCTGAACTTACCACAGATTTGGAATAGTGAAACAATAAATTGTTTTATTGCTTGAAAATATTGACTTTTAATATTTTTTTCATATAACAATTTAAATCAATAAGACTATATATATAGGAGTTTTTTTATCAGTGCCAAAAGCAGTGACTGCTGGATAAATGCCATATAAATTGAATGTTTGATTGATTGATTGATTAATGCAAGAAGTGCTTCAGTTGCCTGGTCACTAGATTAATTTGTGATTAAGCACAATGTGCAACCCTTCCTACTCACTGCAGAAGCACCCAGGCTACTTCAACTATTTTCCCAGGTACTCATTTAACTCCTCATTAGAGACAGGCAGTACAAATACATTACCCTACTGCAAGGACACGTACAAGTGGTCACCCTCTGTCTCAGTCTTGCCCTCCTGCTTAGAAACCCAAACACTTACCCTTGTATCACATACTTTTATAAATTTAGATATTATAGTTTTGTTCCTAATATTTTTTAGTTCTTAGATTTTATTCACCAGTTTTGTCTAAACATTTTTTGTCTACCAAATATGTTTATTAATGTTCACCTTTATGCAAATTCATTATTCAGATTTGTCGGTTAGAGGAAGTTCTGAAGGCCTTTTGTATTCATAATCCATCAGTGGGCTACTGTCAGGGAATGAACTTCATCACATCTGTTAGTCTATTGTTCATGGATGAAGAAACTGCATTTTGGTAAGTAGCCTAAATCAACCAACAGAGGAATAAGTTCAACCTAAGTCATTTTCTAGGCAATACCCTTAAAGGAATATGTATTTCAAATATGATGATCATATCAAAACTCTAATTTGCTATTTTTTATGTTTGTTTATGATATTTTTTTATGTATATAGTTAGGAAAATGTCTCTTCAATGATTTATTTTTATATAGGGTATTTTTAAAATTAATTTTTAATAATACAGTAATATAAGGATATGAGTATTTTTCTTGTAGGGTTTTGAAATTTATCTTTATACTCTATTTAATGTGCAGGAGTTTAGTGGCAATTGTTGAGAACTGTTTCCCTTCTAACTACTTTGACATCAGTTTGATAGGCGCCCAGGCCGATCAGAGCGTGCTAAAAGAGTTGCTTCAAATCAAACTGCCTCGACTACATGCGCATCTGGAAGATATTGGCATAGAAATGTGCTCTTTTACTCTAAACTGGTTCCTTGGTATATTCTATGACATCATACCATTTGAGGTACTGTAAGCCAATAATAATATATATCTCTTGGTCTACTGTTCAAATATGATGATATGTATAGTAATAACAATACTGTATTTTTAACAATTTTTGAAGTTGTAAAGACCTAATTGATGCATGTCTGGACAGATCCTAAGATGTCAATCCTAAGTCGGAGTCAAAATGGTGTGATGAACTCCAAGACTGTCAAGATCCACCATCATGCTTCTTTAAATGATCACTTTTCTGTAATTATTTTAAAACAATTTTGCTGGAAGCCTTCTCTCTTTTTCCCAGCATGTCACTGTCATCACATTACTTGCATTTTTCAACTGATTCTCACTCCAGCTATTTAGCAGTACCATAATCGAATTAAGTTGTTTGAATGATTTCTAAGTATGGGACTGTTTTTATACCTCTTGACAATAATTTTTTTGTGTGTGTTGAAGTGGTATATCAGAAATTCTCATGATTTGAATGTAGAACTGTAAGTTGTATTAGAGGTATTTATACAAATTCAGTTCAATAAGTTAAAAATTTATTTCAGATATCCTTTGTCCATATCAAAAGTTAAGGAAAACGAATACTGTGCAAAAGCAATATCAAACAAACATTTGTAAAAAAGAGGTGGAATTAACCAGAACCATTAATATATTATTAGTCCTTTCCACCTGTCAATCAATTTCAACTCACATAAGCACATTTAGCCTATTAATATTAGCCTATTTAGCCTATTGTAATAAAACCCCTCGGCGTTTATTCTAACTCAATCTCTTGAAAAGAAGTGGTACTTCTGTCTGTGACATGGTTAAAGTTTGTACTTGTTATATACTGCTGATCCTTGAGTACTGCTGCCCATTGTGGCACTCGTCTCTGACAGTTCTGCAGTGCGACGGATTGGAAAGGGTCCAGAAAAGAGCAGTTATTCTAGGTAAAACTCACATCTCAAATCAACAATGGTCCTATACTGAAGCTCTGAAAATCACCAACATCATGACACTTAAATCTAGATGTGAAATCCTAGTATGTAATTCCGGTAAATCATTGCTCCAATCACGACATCGTCATATGCTTCCCCCATCAAATCCTAACAACAGAAACTTAAGACATCATTCACTCATCACCTCACAACGTTGCCGTACCAAAAGGTACCAGAGTTCACCAATCCCATATATTACCAGGCTGCTCAATACCTGATTCTCTCCGGTCCGTCGTCTGTCTTGCTCTTGGGACCAATGCCACATCGGCCTGTATAATGCCATATTGTTGGTTTTACAGAATGAGATTTATATTATTTTTATATATATATTTTTTTTTAATCTAATTTTTTATGTAATTTGTAAATATTCATTCTTGATTTGTAAATACGTATTTTAATGTTTTTGTGATATTTCATGTTTTTTTATTTTGGCCTATATATTTGTGTAAATGCAATGATTTTAGCCTTTGCTTACTTTTTGTATTATTTTTATACCAGAATAAATATAAATTGCAATTATTCAAAACAAACAGGTTATTATTGGCAAGCATACACTGCTTAAACCTAAACACAGACAACATGAATATTAATAAAAATATAAATATCTATGATTAGTTTCCTCCTATTTCTTACATACCTGTCTATGTTAGGTGATGCTTAGAGTTTGGGACTGCTTCCTACTCGATGGACTTGAGGCGCTGTTCCGTTTCGCCGTCGGTCTTCTACAAATGCACGAGTTGTCGCTATTGGAGAAGGACGACACTTTGTCTATCATGAAGGATATGCGACACCTGGCAAAGGTTACGTATGATGCTGACACACTTATGAAGGTATTTATGCAAATACAGTATTTATGAAAATTAAAAATATTTTTATTCATAATAGATTGCATTTAAACTTTCTTAGGACCTATCCTACGTTTGCATCCTTTGCCTAAGGTAGACTTAGTGAAGACTAGGCTAGACCTATCTAGCCAAGCTAGACTTACAACTCTTCGCATTTTGAGGTACCCAAGTACAAGTTCATTCCCTAATACAACCAATATTTTTGATGCATTTTCACATATTTCTTTGAAAGTTTCCAGCATTTAAATTTAATTATGTTTTAGAAATGACATTGCTCTTCTAAATTTTTTCCTCGTAAATTTCTTCTTTTTTTTTTTATCATATAAAAATTAAATCCTAAGGCATGAAATATGACTGAATTTAGTGTTTAATCTTTTAAAGAAGAGTGTAAAAAAATTCATGACATGTGAGTGATGTGTTTTAAAAATGCAATGCTAAGATTTAAAATGCAATGGCAACGCTAGAGTTTCCCATGAGACAGCCATTTAATGACAAAGGGTACAATCAATCAAAATTTGCACCAGATCTTTGGCAAATGATAAATTTAATACATTTTTTGTTAGAATTTTTTCTATAGAAACATAATTTATATTAAATTTTGACAGGGGTTCCAAAAATCTTAGACAGCGAAGGATATAGTCTGTCAGAAGTATCATCAGATGAAAATAGTTGTATGAATCCCATATGGAAGGAACGTGCATTGCTGTATCTAATTCAGTCAATTATTATCAGATTATCTAAAATCCTAATGTACAAGAAAAAAATCTTCCCTAGTCTCTACGTTTTTTTTTTCTTCCATTGCTACTTTTTGTCCACTAGTGTAGATAGACACTATGCCTGTATTTCTTCGGTTACCACCTCTTCTTCTCATTAACTACTACACTCCCTCACTCATTTTTTTTTTTTTTTTTGTATATTTTATCATTCGGGCTCAATCTTTCTTCACCAACTACATGTCCTATTTCAACTGTGTATCTTACTTATTTCCTGTCTCCATCATCAAAAACTTCTCTTACACAAACCTGTCAAGTGTCTCACACTGGCTTGCTTGAGATTTCTTCTGGATTTGCCTGAGATTGGGCATTTTTTGAAAATTATGCTTGTCACATTCCTTAAGGAAAATGCAAACAAAATAACATATAAAATTTTGATTTGTAGTTGACATAGGCCTGCTTTTTTGGCGGAGTTGCATTGCCATCCTTGCAACCTGCGATATCAGACATCTTGCTTTACGGCATTATGTAAGCTCGTCACTGATTGGCTCACTCATATATACCTTACTCTACTCACCGAGAGACGACATCAAACACTGTGACCGATCACCGCGGGATCACTAGCGCCGATAGTCATGTTTGTACATGTTGTATGTTTGTTTTAGAAAATAGCACATTAAAAATATATAATTTGAAGAAATTCTTGAATGCAAGAGAATATATAGGCCTCGCATTAGGTCAAAGTTAAATGCGTACAGTAGGACTCCAATGAGATGCGTGAGACTTGACAGGTCTGCACATCCTCACTCACTCATTTTTCACTTTACTTTCTCCCTACTTTCATAACTTTCCTGCTGTCTCTTTCTCACCCGCTATCCATGTTGCCTGATAGGTATCATGCACTCTGTAATTTTGATGTTGTGCCTCTTGAAGTTGGAAATTGTTACAAAGTAGTTTACAAGTTTTCCCCTCCCTCTTTTAGATTGCTTATGTCGACTTGGAACCATTCCCAAGTATGAGCTGCATCATCGAGAAGCAGAACCACTACATAAAGATCCTTCGCGATGTGTATGTCCAGCAACAGAAAGCGCGTGAAGAGTTCGACCGGCAGGAAGGTCTTCAGAAAGAGAAACAAAAGATCAGAGAAGCTTGCAATAATGATCTGAAAATGGACTGCTGTGTGGAGAGCTCCCCAGGTGAGGATATGACCTGCAAATCTGAACTTGCTCAAAGCAGCCAGTCAAATGAATAGACTGCCCTCACGCCTGTAGTACAAAAAACTTTATTCCACAGTTCACCTTGCAGTATACAGTATATATATATGATAAAAATGTATCATTTTTTTATTGCAAAGTTTAGCATCATACCTGTATTCATATTTACTGTAGCGATATTTCACAGCAAGCAGAAGTAAAAAAAATAGTTTTAAAAAAAATATCATAAAAGGATTTGTTGTGTACAGAAATGTTTAGTTTATCCTGCAGCAAATCATTAGGTTGCCAGATATATGGAAGTTGCAGGCTGTGTCAGTATCTTGTATTTATTGAGCATCTTTCAGTTGATGCATTCTCAAGTCTTTGGAATATAACCATCATGTGAGTGAAGTTGTCAGATATCTTTCTGTTTTGTTGTTTATAAACAATGTTTTGTTGCTTCTGTGTGTGGGCAACATTGGCATATACAAAATCTGAGAAAAAGAGGGGATTACGGCATCTCAAGTCCAAACCAACAAGGGGGAAAATGGATTTTATGGAGTATAAATTAAACTTTACAATTGACCAATCAGAACAGGGCCAGGAATTATTGTTGGTACAACAAACACATGTGTTGTCCCAAAAAATCCATATGTTTGCATATGTTTACCCCTACATTTTATTCAACCTTGGCAACAACATCCAAGAGACAGGGCTTTGCTGAACCGTCCACTACCCAGCTTGAGATAATACAGTTTTTGGTAGAACTGTACTGCTCTTTTTAAAACAGTCTGACTCATTGAATGTATTGCTAACATCTATTTTTCTTTACAAAAATGTGATTCAATAGACACTACATCCTTGGTGATCATTTACCAGAATATTTCAGCCTCTCTCAGCTTTCCTCACACCTGTATATGCCATTGTGTAGTGTGCTCTGTAACAATTGTTGGCATTTGTGGTGATAATTATTTTAATCCCTTAACTTTGGTGTTCTCTGATTCGCTCTGTAGTCTAACATTTTAAAAATTGTTGTGTTGTGTTATGTAGTGGCATTTATATAGCACATAACACTGAGGTCTCTATGCTTCTGTGTTGAAAATAAAATACTTCCTCTTCCTTTTATTGGTAATTCCATTGTAATATTCATATTTATGTGCTGAAATTTTTTTTTTTTTTAAATCCATGTACTACAGGGGGTTGCCCGCAAATTAAAGAATTAAAAAATAAATAATGGATATATATAAACTTTTAAAAAAGAAAAAGGATAGAATATACAAGGGATAAAAACCTTTTCTAATTTATGTAATCAATTCAATACGCACTATGCACATTTAAATCAGCCAATAAAATATGATATTTCAAAATGCATGGCATTGAGTTTTAGATTTTGAAAACTGCTAACAGTGAAAATGCCCGGTGAAAGTAGACGTTAGATACAAGATCAGCAAAATCGCTCTCATAATGTCCGCACAACAATCCTGAGAACAGTTTTAGACAGAAAATTGCTCTTGAATCAGAAATAGTTATCTTTAGGTATAGTTGTGTTTAGCTAATGATATTTGCTCATAACAATAATGTAATTGTGAGTGTTGTGGCTAACATACAGAAAACGCTTGTCAGTTTCGCTTGTGTGTGTGTGTTAATTGGCAAAGAATTATGTTCTTAGTTTTCATTCTAATATTGAAAGTGCAAATTAAGCAATATTGCACTTATTAGTTCAGGTATTCAGACTGTATATATTTAACAAATAAAAAATACATTTGTTTCATTTTCTTCTTGCATTAAAATTACCTAATCACCAAGTTGCAAATGCGCAAAAAAAAAAAAAGCTATTTCATTGTCTCGTCTATGTGTTTGTCAGAATATATTTAGTGTGTCCTTTGTCTTTACATCTGAAGGGGGTGACACCAACACTTATTCTACATCCTCACATTTCACCTCAGATCACATCTGTATGCCACAACCATCCAAATTGTGCATTTGATCCTTGTCCCTGTTTCTGTCTTGTATGTCCAAAAATGATTGTCACCTTTACGTGTCTGTCAGAATATTGTATCATATTTGTCTTCGCATGTCTGAGTGGGTGACCCCATCACTCTCCCTACATCCTCACTACTCACCTTAATTCAGATATCAGTGTGCCGCACCCATCTTTCTAAATAGCGCGGTTGATCCTTGCCCTTTTTTTTGTCATAACGTCCAAAGTGATTTTCTGTATTTGCATGATTCTGCTTCCCATTAGTTGCTCCTGTCAAGTCTGAAAATTTTTAGTATTTCAGAATTGTATACATTTGTAATAATAAGTAGTTCACATAATTTTTGCTGTCTAGTCAAATGCACACTTTAGTAGACATTATGTATAGATTTTATTATAACATGCATAGTCGCTGCTAATGTTTTGAATGTGATATATTATGTGATAATAATGTGATAAGCCCCTAGTAAACCTAATAGTAAAACATTGTTAAGTAATCTAAAAATAAATAAAGAGGAATGGCTGCCTTGAAATGGACTTGGCTGTAAGCTCTATCCATTTTGGCTAAGAACAAGGCAATGTGAACTTCATCAGACTCGAACCCATGACATTATTGTTGAAAGCTCAAACCCTGGCACTTCCACATTAAACAAATATTTCATTTGAAAAAATATTCTTAACCATTTTCACATGATCTAATATTGAATTATCTTTCACCTATATTTATTTTATTTATTTATTTATTTTTTATTAAATACCATGCTGAGCTGCATTATAAATAATCATATGAAAAGTAAAATTATGTATTTTATTTCTTGTTCTGATTCAGGAAATAATAAAAAGGCATTTCAAGTAAATACATGAATTGATGTGTCTTTACTTATTTAAATCACTTTCGTGTTCTACTTTCATTATATTTTTTTATATTAATCTCTGGCAGGTAAATTGCTTGTTTGTCGAGGTGATATCCGCGAGGCTTGGCTTGGGATCATAGATGCGGAAAAATGTACAAAGGACACCCTCAATATTGTAGTAAGTTCACAAGAAAGGAAATGTAACATGTCATCTTTAAATTGTTGTCATCAATCATTCCAAGTGACATTCTGTGGTGTGAACAACTGTTTGAAAGTGTACTGTAGGATGTTAAGGATTTCAATTGGCATAGGAGGATAAATATACCACCCACAATTTTTTAAAGGATATACAGTATGTCAATAGTGTCATCATCATTTGACCTACAATTAAAATTTCTCTCCCAAACTGTACATGATGAATAAAAAGTTTAGCTGTGTTAGTCTGTACAGTATAGAACAATATAAAGTAAATAACTGCAGCACTTTTGAGACTAACAATATATAATTTATTCTACTGTACACTAATTTTACATAAGTGCATGGTTCACTGAATACCTTTTGCACACAAGCCAATCAAAATTTCTTGTTAACTCTGTATATCGCAACAAATTATTTCATTTTGTTTTTATCTAGAAAATTAAATTGATATACATGAAGTAAATGTTTATTTTATTTCTTTTCAGTTGGATTCTCAAATTGTGTGCATGACGACGGCGTGCTCAGATATTGTGCTTTTGGGAACGTTATCGTGGTATTTGTATGCCTACAGTATTAGATCTGAGTAAGTGCACATTGTGTCAATAGGCCAACAGCTATTCCAGTACACCTAATACAAGATAAATTATACAGTGCTTCCTGCAATTCAAGCCCCCACCCCACCCCTGATTTTAAGACCCTTCAAAATCCATACCAATCTTCAATTTTTTTAACACAAAGCTAGTCCCCTAATTGGAAACCGAACCCGGGATCACCCCAAATTTTCAGGTCCTAAAGGTAGTCTGGAATTGGAGGGCAAACTATAATTATTTACAGTAAATTTTGTGTTACATGCAGTAGCTTTATATTATTGGAAATTGAAAATGTGGTATACTTTGAATAAGTGATTGATACTTAGTTTGAAGCCTCTTAATGACTTGTTTATAATGACTGAAGAGCTTTTTGTATGAATTACAATGTTACTGTTTGTCATAATTTTTTGGATTTTTAGGGATGAACTTTGGTGCCTGAGATTGCATGATACTCCCCTCAGTTTAGCATTCCATGTGAAGAGTAGAAACTTATATGCAGGCCTGGCTAATGGTACCCTTGCTGTCATAGAGGTATTTAACAAGATTTTATGCATGGTGGAGAATGTTATTTGATTTGAAGTAGTGTGTTTTGGTTTTAAGATGCTGAACTACCAATCTGATTACAATGGCTTTAAATCCTGAAAATGTCATAAGTAATAACTCCATTTCTGATCCTCTTTAAATTAGTTAACATATAGCATATAGAGCAGGAGTGGGCATAAAAATCGGTCGGAGGGCCAAAGTGATTTTTTGATTTAACACCGAAGCCGCACCCAAACTTTGATGTTTCCAGTGAGCTTCCAAAAACCTCCAAGCACTGCTTTTACATCACTTTATTCACAGTTTTAATGTTATTTTTACATATGGTCAGTGTTAGGCCTTCAAAAACATGGTGTTTTCTAGCTAGTGTTGCTTGCTAATTTAATGGGCCACAAAAAGCCGCTGTCGGGCCGCATGCAGGCTACACTTTGCCCACCTGTGATATGCATCACCTTGCTAGGGGTAATCTATTTATCCCTATTTATACGAGCTACTGTAGTACAAAATGAGGAGTGGATTTAGGGAGGGAGATATAGATATAGACTTTCGGTTTACTATAATAGCTCCATGGGTATGCACGTAGCATAGTTCATTCTTGCATTGGTAGAGGTATAATTAAATGGAGGCTTTTCATGAATTGATTGTAATTGTTAAATGTGCTTGAATTGTGTTTTTGTGTTTCTCAGAGTATATCAGACACAACACCTATGGATGACTTCTACCATTCTGTAGGTGCGAGTCCAGTGAAAGCTGTGCTGTACCTGGAAGGGATGCAGCAGATCTGGTGTGGATGTGGCAACTCCGTCAGCATCCTCAACAAGTAAGTTTTCCTGCAGATTCCATGATTTTTAATTCAATAATATTTTTTCTCTTTGTTTCTTATGCCTCTTTGTTTACATTTTGTTTAAGAACTTTTTTTATCTTTTTTAATAATTGATAATATTCAATATAGTTCAGTTTTTTAATTGCAAAAATATGAATTTCTATTTTTTGATGTTTTTTTCTTATTCCTCTTTGTTATTACTTATTAAATATTAACCTTTTTATATATTGAAATAATTGATAGTATTCAAAATAATTCAATTTGAAATTTATGTAAATAAACAAATTAATAAAAATTGTTGATCTTTGTAATAACATTTATTTTAAAATGTTTTTGGTATTTTTTTCTTGTCTTTTAAATGTGTATTTTAATAAATTGTGCAGTACTGTTTGCTTGTTTTATCCAATCATCCATGCTATGTTTTAATTGATTGCAATAAAGATGAATTTCAATTTGAAATGGTAGTTATGAGGATGGTGTTATTTAGTGATTAGCATTAATATCACACAAAAATACATGTATGTGGCCTACATATATTTGCATGCTTTTCCTGTCTCATGTACAAACACTTTTCCATAATACATAATTACAAGCAGTCAGTTATACATTGTGTATATATTTTGAATCTCCTATAGCAATTTAGACTTGATGGAGAATTTTGAAGTATCAAAGAATCCTGGAGTACACATCAACAACATGGTGGTGGATGTGCATGGTGTGTGGATCACTATTCGCAACTCTTCTGCATTTGGCCTGTGGGACGTGAAGACTTTGACGTGCATTATGGTCTTTGACACAGCAATGGATTACATGTGGACGCTAGCATCTCAAAAGGTAAAATTTTCGAAACATGTCACTGGTTCGTTTCGTTAATGATCATTTCATTTTGTTTTGTTGAGTATTTACCAGTTTTCTATTCGTCTGGTCATCTTCATTAAATAGGATTTTACCACTACGCAGGCAGGCGTGGTTTAACAAAGAACAACCAGTCAATACGGCCATTGTTTAAAGAGTTGTTTAAACCAGCCCGAGAAATAACTTGCACTACTGCACATCCAAAAATTACAGTTTAGGACCACGTGATAGGATCTTGACAAGGATGCCCACTAATATTTTGTATATTTCACACCCTCACATTCTAACCTGACATTTTTATCTGCCTTCTCTTAGATGCGAGAATTGACAGCACCAAGGGTAACAGCACTTTTGCCATATCACGATACTGTGTGGGTTGGAACAGCAGATGGTCACCTTATCATCTACAACATCCATGAGATTGATCCACTGTCTGTTCTCGAGGGTATGGTGGACTCCCGTGATTGTTTCAAATCAGAAGGCTCCGAAGGATTTCTATCAGAGGAGGATCATCTTGACGATAGCGTCAGTACTAAGGCTGTTGATGTCAATGATGATGGCCTGCAAGCCAAAGCAGATATGAAAAGACTAGAGGTGCATGTTGATCCACACGGATTTGAAACCAGTATTGATAGCAGAGGCTTTGACGCTAGTCTTGATACTAGAGGCTTTGAAACCAGTATCGACACAAGAGGCTTTGAAACTAGCTTTGACAGCAGGGGATTTGATACAAGCATTGATAGCAGAGGGCTTGAAGAAAGCTTGGACAGTAGAGGATATGAAGCAAGTATGGAAAGTGTCATGACAATGGATGGATTCAGGTATGAACCAAGGAGGCAGTTGTTTGATATAGGAGAAGAATCTAGCTCGGAACAAACTTCAGATTCACGTCAAGATGTCACTGATGCCTTCTCAGAAAACAGAAACAGTGTTGTTATTGGTGTTAGAAAAGAAAATTTAATAATCAACAAGGAAAATGAAATTACAGATCCAGCAATTGAGAAAGATCTAGACACCAGTGAATCTAATTCTGATGGCAATATTCACCCAGATAATCTTCTGACCGCTATTGAAGACTGTGATCATATCATTGAAGAGTGCCATCACCTAAAGAAAAACTGTACTCATGTGAATGAAGATTGCCATCAAATGGAGGAAGATCATGATCACATGAAAGAAGATCATCAGGGCATAATCGTAAACCTCTATGACCTTGCAGCATCAATGGTCGCTAATAATCCAGTTGTACCAGAATATCCTTGTCCAGAAAATAGATCCTTAACAGAATCAGACATTACTACTAGTGACATCTCACGTATACCTGGACAAAGAGATTCTGGTAATGTAAGTGCATTCTCAGGTGACCAAAAGCAAAGCGATGTGGAATCTGATAGTGCAAGAATCTCTGCCGCTCACAGTAAAGAAAGCTGTTTTGAGTCCGTTTCAGAGTCTGCATCAGTAACATCTTCTGTGACGGACATTACACCTGTTGTACTTTCAGTTGATATTGGTGGTAGCAGTGACTTAGATAGTCTTTCACAGGCTACCTCAGGTTTGAGTTTAGATGGCAGACTTCCAATCTTTCATCTTCCAGTAGAACAGGTCCACAAACAGACATTTGAAAAAGAAGTTCAGACAGAAGGAACATTGGATAAGACATATCCAACAGAATTTGAGAATCCTTTAGAATCAAGTATTGAAACAAATGGCACTCTATGTGCATCTGGTGAATTCCTTGCAAGCGAAGAATTTACAATTAGCGGAGATTTCACCTCCAGTGTGACATTGAGGTCAGGTGCTAAGGTCTTTAGACGGTCATCATTTATTCGGGCACCATCCAATAAGAGTTCTGCCGTCTCAGGTGGCAGTAACAGTGACTCAAAAGATGGACATTCTGGTATTTCCACTAGTGTCAGCGATGTTGATAAACAAAGCTTAGCAAGTGTCGATAGTGAAGGGGACTTTGTGATTGTGCCACAGTCTTCAGTTGAGTTAAAAGTAGAAGAATCTCAGTACACCAATAAATATCGCAATGGTCGCAAGCAACAGAACAGGAGAGGAAAAATCAAAGCCAAGATGGTATCAAGTCCACAAACTGTTAGGAAGCTTCTTCACTCCAGTTCAAAACGAACAAGAAAACATTCAGTGAAGGTTAAAAAGTCTGAAGAGGAAGGCAGCGGATCAGATGTTTCAAAACCAATGGAAAAAGTTCAAAACATGATTGGAAAAATCAGCAAGCTGAAACGTGGTGCCACAAGAAAGTCAAGGAAGTATCGATTGAGCCAGGTGTTGGTTGAAGACGCTCCTGTCGAGAACATGCGCATTTCAACCATTACACCAGTACCAGAGGATCCAGAAGACAACAAAGAAACCAAGAAAGTTCAGAGGAAGTCTGTGATGTCTATGCTTTTGCAAGGGGAGCTGCCACCAAGCTTTGCATTCTCTGAAATTGTAGTCCAACCAAGATTTGACCTAGAAGTACAAGTCCAGCACAAGATATCAGAATGTCCAGTCAGATGCCTCGTACAGTCAAGGTTTGTTTTGTAATTTTTATTTCAGAACTAGGTTAAGTTGATCCACTCCTATTTCTATTTAAGAATTATCATTCAACATTAAAACTTAAGCATTTTACTTTTTGGGGCATATTTATTATCTAGGTGTATTATCTCATCAGTGAAAATTCTTGATGGGGAAAGTGATGTGTTCCCCCTTACCCTCCCCCATTTTGACTCAAAACATATGTCTTCATTGCATAGATTTAAGAAACTTGGCATCACCCGTCCATTGAAAACTTGCTGAACAATATAACAACACTGTCTACATTCTGATCAGCTTGTATTATTATTACCTCTATCATGCGGTTATTAGGATAAAACACTCAGCCTACGTCATGTTTTTATCATCGGTCTTTACTATCATGTTCCCCTCTTTTTTCCATTTCAGTATAAGTGGAACACAGGATGCAGCTGTGGTAAGCTGTGCTGGATATTTTGGAGATGATGAAGCTGCCTTGAGATGGACATGTCATGCTAGAGAGGTATGCATATAACAGACCAATTTAAATATAATGTATCACACAGTGTATTCATTAGTTTATTTGAAAATAATATATTTGTCAAACTGTACAATGTACATGCATTTTATTCATTCAGGTTTTTAAATACTTCGAAAACAGTACAAGACTGTAAAGAAGTTAAAGTTTACAATATCATTCCAAAAAATATATGCCTATAATATCTAAAATATTTTTTAATGAATTATTATTAATAAATAATTGATAAATAAAATGAACGTCATCTTTACATCATATTCAATTAAATATATTATGTAAAAGATTAATGTTTGTTTGCTTATTCTAAATAGTCATGATTTAAAACAATGTACAGTACAACCCTTCCTTTTACCATGGAGGTATTATTGAGAAGATCACTTGGCAACAGATCCCTTTGACGCGACAAACCAATGTGTTCCCCGCCTTTGATAATAAGATAATACACCTGCGTGCGGGTGTATTATCTTATTATTCACATTTTTTCGTTAGCAACAACTTGGTAACGACATACGTTTATACGCTTCAACACAGCAGTTGTGCGATAACCCGTTTGATTTTAACTCATTAAATATCTTTATAATTAACAATGTTTCCCTGATTAGATTTTTTTGGACTTTTAGTATGTTGTTATGTGTATATTTCAGGATTAGATTCCACAAAATATTTCTGTTACAATTACTTCGGTGTTCATTGTAATTTTGTTTAAAGATCGATTGGTTCGACTATAAAGCTAAGGCAGTGTAAAACTGAAAATTACTCTGATTTTGGATTGAATTTTCAAATAGTTAACCCTCGTTAATCCTAAAATGACTTAGTTTATTATAATCTCAATCATTTATTGATTCATATTTGTTGAAATTAGAATTATCGAATTTTATCCAATTTATGGAAATTGAAGTTGAAATATGCTATACTTTCAAAGCTCATGTAAATGTTTCATTAAATTCGAAACTCTTTTTTGTGGAAAATATTAATATGTTTGATATTTCATGAGTGATAAATGTATCAGCTTCAAAATGGAAACGATTGCGCAGCCATAGTTATTGACTGTATAATTTCGCCATGTTCAATTTTTTGGTAAACTAAGCCTGCTGAGCATTTGATGGCGGGGAACACATGAGACTTCAAAGGCATCGCACAAACGTTCTTCACACACTGCGGCAGCTTTGTTCTTGGCTTATTTGCATAGTGCTGCGTGCGCGTGGCTTTTTCGAGCGATCTCCTCAATAATACCTCTATGCTTTTACCAATCATATGCAGTGTATGGCAAAAGAATAAAAATAGATGAGCTGTACTAGTCTGATATAATAGTAAATTAAACACCGGATATGAAGTACTTCACATTCACCTGCAAAAGCTAGTTTCTTGTCAATAAAACTGGTCTTTAATGTACTTCATATCCAATGTTTCATTTACTGGCAAGAGAATCTTCTGTATTTATGAATATTACTGTTATATCTCTCAACGATTCACATCTCCTAATCAGCTTAATCACCCCTATACGTACATACTATTAAATTGTATTTTTTTACTATTTTTAGAATGTTTGGATACAAGTACCTATTGAGCCTATCGTATGAATAGCCGTGATCTCAGACCCAACAGCAATATCCAAGACAGAGTCCTAATTATATTGAGACGACTCATTATGTGAGGGTTATTTGATTTTACTTGTACCAAAGATTAATTAATTTAAATAATAGTACAAAGCATTTGTCCTGTGTATGTATTCACCTCAAGAGAAAAGTCATTTAAAAATATTTAGTATTATTATAATGAAATTAAATATGATATAAAAGAGTATATATACAATAATCAAGTGTTATCAAAAAGATTGTACCAGCAATATGTGCATGTGAAATAGATTTATAATTAAGAAACTGTGTAATTATTTATAAATAAATGTATAGGCTACAATGAATTTCATTGGTTGATACTTAATGAATATTCATTTGTTCAACAGTTTTACACAAATGGAAACTTGAGAATGAATTTCATTGGTTGATACTTCATGAATATTCATTTGTTCAACAGTTTTACACAAATGGGAAACTAGGTAGTTATATTTGTATAAATGTTCTTGCCACGTATATTTGTTCTTATAATTATTATATTTATTTTTGTTTTATGTATTAGGATACTTTAATATAAATATCTTAGTTAATAATCAAGAAAAATAATATTATACATGATAGAGGTGCTTGTATTTTTATGCCATTAAAACTGAATGTTTGTATGATTGATTGATTGATTGATAGTAATGATGACATCTAGCTAATTATTTGCACCATTAATGTGATGATGTTTACAGTATTGAGTTGAGACATTTAGATTGCATCCTCCATTGGTCGCTACCTCAAATGTGAAATGTAATATTCAAATTAATTTAAATTAATACATGATTAAAATTCAACATTCTCATCATGGTTTGCTTTGTTGGTGATAAAACCCCATGTGTTACCATACTGTAGACTGTTTTCAGAGATTGTTAATTTTGTTATGTATATCCTCATATGTTCTATGATGTCCTCATACTGTAGATAGAATTATTTTAATACCAGGCCAGTAACCAGGATTTTCTTGGGGTGTGTTATCTGAAAAAGAAACATAAGGGATGGGGATTAGGCTACTTATGAGACCATGGCACCGTAGTGTGCCTAACATGTAAATGGTGAATTTTATCATATTCATCAGAATGGGTTTGACCTTAAACCTGGAAGGCGTTCTGGTTACAGGCCTAAATACTAAAATGCGAGGTGCCACAATGAGTTAGGAATTTGAGGTAAAAAATTGTACATACAGTGTGTATGCATAACATAAATAAGGTATTAACATAAGGTTGTTTGTACAGTAATTGTACAGTTTGCAATATATAATAATATGTGTATATATACATTATAGATATAAATTATATACAGTAAAATTTGCCTAAGTCAACTTTTTTTCCAACTCAAATAATTTTTAAGTTGATTTTATTTTACATGCCAATTTGTTGTTTTCCATTAACGATCTGCAAGTCAAATTCGAACAATTTTTCAAATTCATTTTGGATTTGACTTAGGCAAGTTCAACTGTATATTATATCTATATTTACACATACTGTGTATACATTCATATAATGTATGTATGTACACTAAAATATATGTTGTTGGTTAACCACAAAAAATAGTAATGTAATGTGGTGTATAATATTGAGTGCTGAAGAGTAGTGGTGCTATATTGTCCTAAATTTTATGTTTACATTCATTATTGAGTTGTTTCTGTCAACAGTGTAGAATCCCTTTAACCTGCATCCTTTGGCTGAAGTAATAGAGTAGATTTGTTGTATTATGTATTTCAGTTGTTTCATGTTTTCTTTGGCTGTTTATATTTTCAATAAAGTTTGTTTTTATTTTGTTACAATTGGTTTTTAAATATCTGTTTTTAGCTATTTATATAGAAGTGTTGTTAAAGATATACTCTCTGTAACTAAAGCTCAGTTTCCATAGAATCGCTCACGCTATCGGCGACAGTTGTCGAGAAGGTTGCAGTTCAGATAAATCGGGGTGCCTTTCCAATTATGTCAGGGCAGCAAGCAATGCACCCCGTGAATTTGAACCAGGTTAAACCTCCTCGACGATTGTGGCCGATAGGTGAGCAATTCTATGAAAACTGAGCTGTAGTCTAAGAAGCCCATACATTTTTTTTAACTCAATGAGCTAAGGGAGTAAATAAGCAGTCAAATTGCCTAGGTCCGGGCAGCCAGGTTTGAAAAAAGACTATGCTATATTAATGTAAAATAAGTCATCGAAATACTAAAAGCCCCCAAATTTATACCAAAGTCCAATCTTCATTTTCAAAAACAGTGTCCTCTAGACATCAAAACCAAACCAAAGTACTGTAATAGTTTATACGGGACTCATTAAAAAATGCCTTTTGTTGCCTCACTCTCAAAAGTTCAGACATAATACTAATCAATTTGTTGTTGAATTCTTTTATTCTATAAAAGTATATAATTTACATATAATACATCCATGTGATTTTAGCACCATGGTGGAAGTAATATTGCATTTTCGAAAGAGTTTAGCTGTCTCACAGACATCATTAGGCCAGGCAGAAGCAGTTAAGCAGTTGAACTTGCCTAATACCCTATTCAGACTACACTCTGTTGCGATTTGTTGCGATGTAATCGGTGGTAATTCAAAACTGATTACTCCCGATCGCAATCAACGAACGCATTCAGACCAACACAAACTTTACATTCTAGAGCCTAGCCTCCGGTGGCTAGGCCTATGTTGACTGACCTCAGCCAAACAGTGCCTGTGGAATTAGTTGTGATTCGTTGCGATCGGATTCCGTGGTAATCGGGAGTAATAAAGATTGTAGCACCCAATCGCAGGCCTAGGCCTAAGTACAGTAGGACGTCTGTCTCTTATACACATCTAGATGTGTATAAGAGACAGAAAACACTGAATACTGCGCGATAAGTTCCCCTTCATTCACAACTAGATTTTAACATCATCATCTAAATAGTTGAAAGGCCTGTAGTTGTTTCATAAAACCATCATTAGGCCGTAGACAAGGTCTCATTCTTCGTAACTTTGACAGTTCCTGTTCAACATCAATACCTTCAGTTTTTACCAGGTATGCAAGCGCTACAGTGCAAGAACGGGATACACCTGCATTGCAGTGAATCAAAACAGAACCATCATGCCTCCCTTGTTCTATAAATGAAAAACATTCTTCAAAGTACCTAAAAAACAAAAAAAGGTATTCTTATACTGTATCAAATTATACATTTGAAATCATATTAAAGCTGTGGAAAAGAAAACTGCAAGATGGGTCAATGGGAAACAGCTACTTTCTCACATTTACCAAGTAGACACATTGAAAGCAAATAAAAGCACCAGACATGATTTATACTATATGTATCCCCAACCACAACGATCAAATGAGGAATTTTATTGATGTGATTTTCGTACATTTCATAAAAATAAATGAAAAAAAAAAATTGGTGAGGCAGAGAAAAAGGATGCGAGAGGGGACAAAAAAATAGTAATTTTTTTTATTTGGATAAAAAAAAATAAAAAATTCAAATTCTCCCTCAACTTTATTCACAATAATCATAATACTGTACAGAAGAAAATATGGGAGAAGAGAAACTTTCAAATTATGCGTAATTTTATAGATATTCAGATATGTGAAACAACACTAAAGTTGATTCTCTACTTGCACTCATTAAATCTCGTATTTTCTTTTTATGTAATTATTGCTGAATTATTGGCAGAAGATTCAAACTTTTATTGAGAAAATTTTAATATCACCAAATAAACTCATCATTTGGCTTAACTGTTTTGAAAATTTAGCCGTAGTAGCACTGCAAGAACTTTTATTGTTGGACATGAGTGGACAATGGGCAAGTACCTGGTAAGGTCAGTCTCTGGAAGGTCAAGAATCTCAACATGCTTGTATGTTAAAACTTCAGGAAATAAGTTTTGTACACCAGTAGCTGTGTTTAAAATGTGAGTAATCCCGTGTTCCTTTATCAGATCCAATCTATGGGCTACATCCTGACTACCTGAAAAATACGAAAAATATTTTTTACACTTTATGGAAAATCATTTCTTCATCATGACAGGCTTTTATTACCTATTGGAAAATAATGTCTTCATAATGAAAGGCTTTTATTACCTATTAACTACCATTTTGATCAACTGATTTTTCTATAGAAATTTTCCATTTACTACTGAAATGTACCAAGTTGAGAACTCTACTACTGTTACAGTATCACAGACCGACAATGTCGGTGATCTTTTTGTCTGTGATCTTTTTAAACTGCAAATTTGATTCATAACATTGGAAAATAATATCAATAAAATATTGTCATGTGATTACTTAGATATAACCCAGGTCGGATGTTTAGAACCTGTAGATCTGGCTTAGTGTCAACGACAAAAAAACCTCCGCCAATCTTTTCTTTTTTATCACTCTCACTTCTAGTCACATCAAAACTTCCAGTTTCATTCCTTCTTTCTGTAAATGTATGCCCATCAACCGTGAGGACTTTTGTGTTGACTGGTTTAAGTGATTGTCTTGAGGAGGCCAATTGCTCTTGTAGGTTCATTATAAGTTTAAGCTGCTGACTAAAGTGAAATAAAGATCAGGGGCGGATTTAGGGGGGGGCCGGCCCGGCCCCGGCCCCCCCTTTTGGGAGGTAAAAAAAAAGGGAAAAAAAGAAAAAAAAGAGAGAAAAAGAAAAAAATGATAGCCCAGAATGCCTCAAATGTTATGTTCGGGCGTCTAGAACACAACAATTTCGTGGGTGCATGCCCCAGGACCCCTACGACAGTGTTGTCTCAATCGGCCCAACTTTCGGCCCCCGCTTCCGGCCCCCCCTTTTGGACATTTCTGGATCCGCCCCTGAAGATATTAACAAGTAATTATATATCAAAAACTATGGAACGCGGTTACTGCCTTTGGTGGCTCTTTTCCGTTCGGCGCATTTGTTATTTGTTATTCGGCCCTTTTAACATTACGTTCGGTGCTTTTACATTACGTTCGGTGCTTTTTACATTACGTTCGGTGCTTTTTACATTACGTTCGGTGCTTTGAACATTACGTTCGGTGCTTTTTACATGACGTTCGGTGCTTTGAACATTACGTTCGGTGCTTTTAACATTACGTTCCAGGCCCGTAGCCAGGGGGGGTTTTATGGTTCGGGCGAACCCCCCTTTTCTAGCGAACCCCCCTGTTTTCTAGCGAACCCCCTCGAATTTTTGAATGAGTCCCACCCGTTTTTAAATTGTAGCCTGCATTACAAGCCTACATTCACAGGATATGTCAGATTCAGAAGTTCGGAGATTTAAATTAAAACGCAATTCCTTTACGATGACACACATAAGGATGGCAAACATCGATAAAAACACGGCTGCCGTCTCAACTTTCACTGGCCTTTGGCTGAATGTTTGTAAGAAATGTACCAACCGGCGACTTAATCCACCAAATGCAAATAAAGTTTTGCGACTTAATCACCTAAATGTGGATTGTGTGGTTAGTAAATTCCATAGCCATACTGTCCATCGCGCACACTAAACTATGTGCTGATGGAGCATTTTGGGGAAATGGACTCTCCTTTTTTCTTTTTTTTTATCCCAAACAAAATATTATTAATAAATCAACATAGTCCATCTCAGTCATCATAGCTAGTCTCAAAATTAGGCTAGGAAGTTTGCAGCAGACACGCTACAGAACGGAGTGCGTCAAAACGAGTGTTTGTTAATGTTTAGTGA